GGGAGACCCGGTTTAGACGGACCTCCCGGTAAACATGGACCAATAGGAGTTCAAGGCCAGATGGGCATAAAGGGAGATGTTGGAATGCCAGGAGAACCCGGTCCCGTGGGACCTAGGGGTCCGCCTGGAATGAAAGGTGAGCCGGGCCAGTCCCGCTCGGCTCCATCTTTGCTGCAGGGTCCTGGTGACACGACAGTCAATGAAAGTCACACAGCCATCTTAAAATGTACAGCCGATGGTAATCCAAGTCCAAAGGTCACGTGGACTAGGTTGAATTCATCCCTTCCTGTTGGACGTCACGTGGTAGATTCCAGTAGAACTCTGATTGTGAAGGACGTTAGACCTGGAGACGACGGAGTCTACAGCTGCAGAGCTGAAAATTTGTTGGGACACGTGAACGCCTCTGCGAAATTAACTGTTCAGTGTAAGTGACGTGATTGTAGCATAAAAACAGGTTCTTTGCAAATACATTAGAATCTATTGGCTGTACCGGTGAGCCCAGGGGTACATAACTTAATCTAAACATAATTTTATAATTATCATGACGTATGTAGTAAAAATATATTATTCACAAAGTTTAGACAAGGCTTAATCTCCTGAAATTTAAGGTTACCTTATACCTTAAGGGGTGTCTCACGTGCACGCGAGTTAGCGCGTGCAGTTTAAGCGGTAGATACCTAAACCCCTATATCAAATTAAATCTTATAGAGCTGGCTATCAAACTATACGAAGAATTTTGAAATAAAATGAATTGTCCAATTTTTCACGACCACTAAATGCGAGCGCCCGAATAACCTTTCGAAAGCTACAAGTCAAAGCGGATTTCGTTTTTCGCCAATTTCATTTTTTCCGCGATTTCAGGGCCCAAAGCGCTTACAAAACGTGTCTGCGTTTTGCCATATTCAATTGCAGTAAAAAGTTACAGAACTTTTTTGAAGTATATAGGATTAAAAAAATGTAGAGTGATCGTACAATCGCTCTCGAAGAAAAAATATTTCGAAATTAACAATTTGTAGACATGTTTTTGTAGTTTATATGTTAAACTAGCTACTGTCCAAATTTGAGGACAATTGAACCAGTTTCCTTTAAGTTAAAACCCTTTGAAGTGTCTGCTTCAAGCAAAAACATTTATTCGAGAAAACAGCGCTAAGAAAAATCTTCTGCTTCGCAAACAAACTTCGCCCACAGACGCCTTCAACTAGGTTCTCAGATAACTGAGCCAATCAGTGCAGGGAAAGTTTACTAACGTTAACCTCCTGTTGAAATTTACGCGCGAATTTCCAAAAAACCCTTGTGTTTCGCAATGCGCTCAAGGCGCCGAAAGCGGAGAGATAATTTTTCTGTAGCTCGGTTTTTCTTTAAGCTGTTCACTCTGGCAAAATGGGGAAGACGAAAAAGGATACGACCGCTAGAGTGGCTGGGCGAAGGAAACAAATAAAAGAAAGTGCGGCGGAGCAACTGTGCGTGGTCAACTGTGCATGGTCAACTGTGCATGGATAACATTTCAGTGGATCTCAATGAGTCCAACGATTCGTCGATATCGGATTAATCGGAATTTCTAACATCTCTGTTATTGCTGTTAAGTTCCCAAATTTTTACAGAACCTTTCTTTTCTCTTACCTCGATTTTTTTGCTCGCCCTATACAAAAGCTATAGCTTCATCTGCGTGGCGAACTTTCGCTTCTTCATTCATTGATGTATTTTCATTCGTTCTTCGCTGTTTTCGCTTTTTCGAACTGGTCAATGTTTTTAACGTGTTCTATGTTTACTTATAACTTAATAGAATTAAACCTTATTCCAAAAATGCTTAGTAGTCAGAACAACAATTCTGATCAACTGAGTGGTCAATTCGTGACATCCGTATAGGTAATTCCCTCGAAAATCGTCTCCGTTGATTGCATACACGCCATAGGGCTGTCAATCAAGAGGTAAACTTTTACTTCCGGCGAAAACGTAAAACCGCCATTTCTCCGCCAATATTGAGTCTTTTTCAAAAATATTTTCAGAAATTAGAGATTATTCTTCCACCACTACTTTGACCCAAAAATCCAAATTTGAAGAAAAATGGCCGACCTGAAGGTCTACTGTAACCTTAAGTCAGGTCCCACCTGCTCAAGATGCTCGCTTGGATCAGTTTAATAAGATCAATGAAAAGTGAAATAACATTTATGATCGCTTTCATAATAAACTATGCGTTCAGGAAAAGTCAATACAGTGCACTCCCCAAGTTTGCCCAAGCAAATGTAATGTATTGTTTTTCTCGGCAGTCGCTTCTAAACTCTTGTTGTCAACCAATCGATTGATGGCTGAAGAGAAACAAAACATCAGTATCGCCTGTACTGCTACTGGTCAGCCGCTCCCTAGTATCACGTGGTCCAAGTCCGTTGGTAATATGCCTGAAGACAGAACTGAAGTGATCAATGGAAACCTGACAATCCACGGTGTGGCTAAAAATGACGGTGGAACATACATCTGTAAAGCGGAGAATATCCTGGGACCAGTAACAGACACAGCTCAGCTCGTGATATTTTCTCGTTTGCGGTTCGAAATCCGTCCTCCTCAAGAGGTGACTCCTGTGTTCGGCTTTAGTGTCCATCTGCCGTGTGTAGCTAAGAGTGACCTGAAACCGACAATCGCTTGGACCAAGGATGGGAAGACCTCACTTCCTGTAGAATCCAATGTTCTACAGAATGGGACGCTGTTGATTACGAATATCAAGAAATCACACGAAGGATCTTACACCTGCATAGTGACTAATGCTCTAAGAGCAATAGAAGCTCAAGTCAAAATCAATTCCCCAGTGACTGCGACTTCCTGTTCTGTGATAAGAAAACACGTCAGCAGTGTAAGCGGAAATTACGTCATTGATCCAGATGGCACGGGAGGAGTGGCACCATTTACAGTTTACTGTGACATGAGTGACAAGAATGGAACTGGCGTGACGGCAATTAGTCACGACAGTGAGAGCAGAACGCACGTGAAGGGATGTGAACCTGTCGGTTGTTATTCACGTGGCATTCATTACAGAGGAGTGAGCCTGTCTCAGCTGGCGAGTCTCACCAAAGTTTCCTCGCACTGTGAGCAGTTTATCAAGTATGAGTGTTATAATTCATTGTTCGTCAGTGGCAGCGCTAATTATGCCTGGTGGGTGTCACTTGACTCTACTAAAATGACGTATTGGGGTGGGGCATCACCTGGCAGTGGTAAGTGCGCATGCGGGATGACCAACTCATGTGCAGACTCGAGTCGTGGTTGCAACTGTGACAAGAATGACAATGTATGGCGTGAAGACAGCGGTTTCCTCACTGACAAGACACATCTACCAGTTAAACAGCTCAGGTTTGGAGATATAGGCGATAGCGGCGAGCAAGGCTACCACACATTGGGAAAACTTAAGTGCTATGGCATAGCATAACATTCAGACATACTTTTAGTATTCTAAAAATAGCAATCAATGGTAACAATACCTTTCATAACAAAATGCAGTTATGACATCCTTACTATTTGAAGGGATCTTGATTATTTTTTGTTTTCGAAATTCAAGAGTACGATAGATCGCAAAACCCACTTTTTTAGTAGTAGCATGGTGGCAAGCGAGGATACTAAATGACTGAATTGTTGTTTTCTCTTCGTAGCTATAGCTTTGGAAGCGTAAGACGTCTGTACCACTTAGTGATAAACATGAAGTTATAGCTTCGGAAACAACTGTAGGTTACACAATCACACATGAA